GTGAAGTGTTTATTAGAAGAATAAACTGCTGGTGTTTCTCCTCTGTCTACCGCTGCTGCAGTCAAGGATCACGTAATGGGCCTAACATATTGTTAGGGCTAAAACACGTAGGGTTTTTTTTTTGTTTCATCTTTTGTGCTTCAGTTATAGAATACTGTAGATTAGCAATGTACATATTGTGTTCGATTTCTCATTATTAAATGCCCATCCTGCGTAAATTATATTTCTGTACTACATATTGTCGTAATTGGACTGTCCTTTCCATCGTGCCCTCCTGGTACACACAGCTTTATGAGGCTGGTGTGACGGAATTTTCGGCTTATTTTGCTTTAATTATAGGTCAGTGTCTATGATTTGAAGGATGACAGTGTGAACATGCTGCGAACTTATCATGATGCAGCAGTAAGTATATTTTTTTTGATATCAATTTACGGCTACAACGATTTTCGTTCAATTCACATAGGGTACCAGTAAATTACACTTTGTTTTAGAAAGACGAAGCATTTTTTGCGGTTTGCTGGGCATATGATGTTGATAATCAATTGCATCTTGTGGTTTTTGCTGGAAATCGCGGAATAATACGAGTGCTCGGAGCTCTTACCGGAGAGCTACGCAATGTTTGTTGCATTTTTTTTTTACAGATTTTAAGCTCGTGTTCCGCTTTCTTTTGCTCCCCGAATTTGCTTCTGGGCATTTTTTTTCTAGCGGCGAAGCGTTTAAAGAAAAGGTGTGTTTGATTTCTGTTTGCGCTTTTGGAGCTTTTCGATAAAGTCTTTTCATTGCTCACCTGGGTTTCGCATTTCCTCCATTGGTTGCAGCAGTCGTTCTGAACTATACAGATACTATACTGAATATTCCGAAACGCTCGAAATATTTGGTCTCAAAATACTCGAATTTCTGGGTGTAACTCTGGGATTTAACAACAGATATGTGTGCGCTATTGCATTTGTTTCAGGGAGGTGGGGCTAGGGAGGAGGGGGGAGGGGAAGGAGGGGAGGAAGGGCATTTAGGTAACGAATCTGTTAGTTTTTTGGACTTTCGTTCATACGAAACCTTTTGGCATTTCATTTCTGCGCTGCATCAGTTATATTTCCATCAAATGTAATTTGCAACTTTTCGTCGATTCCAAAACACAATAGCTCGATTATTGTCGCGCTGTTCATTGAATCTTAAAAATTCCTAGGCGGGTAACAAAGCGGGGACTTTTTTACGAAAATGCCTTCGGATGCGCATCACAAACACTTACGAAACGTAATTTCAGATACTGTAACAAAACAACATTGATTTTAAAGTTTTTGAGATGCAGCTATGCACAGAAATAAACAGCAGCAGGGCAGCAGAAAATTCTAGCATCAGCAAG